CCAGTCTTAAAATTTTATGTGGTATTTGAGCCACACGGATACACAGCTACTGGATTAACTTAACAAAAGGATTATCAAACCAGTTGTATGAAACTAAGCACCGGCTATACTGAAATAAAGAACACATTTGAAATTTCTAAATACTAAAACACGCTATAATATTGCACTTTTCCCATTCAGGTTTTTTTCTATAACATTTTTCACTTATAGTCAACAACAAAACACTTGGTACAACAATTCCTTCATAATACTGATTTCAATTTTACTGTAATTACAAATAGAATTTTTTACACGTTCGATTCAAAGCCGACGCGTCTTTACACTGTTTGTCTGTTTGTAATACTAATATGACATTGTTAAATGAAAGATAACACAGACTTGTACAGTATAAAAACGCTTTATCACCTCAGAAACTTGTTATATAAATTTAAACCATAACTTGAAAACAAGACAATTAATTTTGTTTTATCGGCATCACACACATAAAGCAATTTAGAATGCTAGCTTGATATAAACATTGAGAACTAGTAACAAGCTATTTTAGACTTTATATGTAGAATTATAATGAGTATAGTGTTTTGATGAATATCGTAGGGAAAACGTACGGAAATCAACCGTATGAGTCCGTATAATGCGAGAGCGAGATAGATAACAACAAGGTCACTGTTAGCGAGAGTACACAATAAATATGCAAATAGCCATTATTGTTTAGGTTAAATTATATAATGTTTAAATGTAAATTAAATAAAAAATAGCTTATTTCTACGTCGCCATTATAATCAAACTGAGTTTTTTCTGGATATGCATTATAAATGGATGTAATTATATTTTTTTAGCTAATTTGAATATGGTTAATCATTGTTATTAATATTTTTTATAGAATAAGGATGACAAACGGGCACACAGTCCACTTGATGGTAACTGGATGTTGTGGGCCATAGACATCTACATATATCCTCGATTAAGAATCAGAACATGCAACGTTTCCAGTAAAAAGGGTCTCCGGATCTCTAAGCTCACCATATGAAACAGGAGTATTAATCTGCTATTTTACGCTGGTATTTTATGAGAGCGTGGGCCTAACCCGGTCGAGCCGACCCATTCGTGCTAAAACCACAATAAAGCTGCAGTGTGGCTCTACCACGTAAAGCAACATGACTCTATCACGTTAAATACTTAGTTTGATGGCAAAGATCACTATTTTTTTAGCAGACTTCAAGAAAGGGAGGAAGTTCTCAATTTAATTCGATATCTTTATCAATGAGGACTTCCACAACATTTTCTGGCACTTTGGTGGCATTACTTTTTTATTTATTTATAGGATAGGGTGACAAACGAGCACACAGTCCACCTGATGGTAAGTGGTTGCTGCGGTCCATAGACATCCACATCTATCCTCGATTACAAATCAAAATGCAGATGCGTTGTCACCCATGAGGACTAAGATGGAATGCCTCGTTTCCAGTATAAAAGGGTCTCCGGTTCTCTACACTCACCATACGAAACACAGCAGCATTAAGCTGCTATTTCACGCTGGTATTCTGTGAGAGCGTGGTCCTTCCCCGGTCGAGCTGACCCATTCGTGCTACAACTATACTACTAATATAACTGCAGCATGGCTCTACCACGTATATACTTGGGAATTAGGTGAAATATTTGACAGATTTCCTAACTGGGGAAGTTACGTAAATTGTTAGAAAAGTGTGGAGATTAATATTTTTTTTAATATAATTAGTTACATTTTGTAATAATCATATTAGAAATGAGTAAACCAAACTACTGGTGTTCCCAAAAAGAGAATAATAAAAAAAAAATATATAAAAATTAAGGGCACAGTACCTGCGGCATTGTTTTTTTATAGAATAGGGTTGAACAACGAGCACACACTCCACTTGATGGTAAGTGGATGCTGTGGCCCATACACATCTACATTTATCTTTAATTAAGAATCAAAATGCAGATGCGTTTTCGGCCCTGAGGACAGATGGCATCGTTTCCAGTAAAAAGGGTCTCCGGTTCTTTACACTCATCATACGAAATACATCAGCATTAAGCTGCTATTCTACACTGGTATTCTGTGAGAGCGTGGTCCAACTCTGGTCGAGCCGACCTATTCGTGCTGCGTGCGACCACAAGCTGCTATAGCTGCAGTGTAGATCTACCACGTGTAAAATATGTTGTAAATATGTTTTATGTATATGTCTATACTAGATAGCGAAAAACTTTTAAGATAATTGATAGAATCAGGCGTTACTTTGCGGAAATCCATTATAATAAAAATATTAATTAATCTGCACCTTCCGCTAAGTGGCTTAGCGGTCAGCCGCCACGTGTCGTATTATCGTCGATGGTGTGTCTTACCTGGAACAGTGGTGTTGGAAGTAGTGGTGCCGGGAGTAGTGGTGTTGGGAGTAGTGTGCTGTGACTAGTGGTGACGGAGTTAGTGCATGCAATTGAGGGAGGGCGGGAGGTGCTCTTAAATCCAGGTAAGACACATCATTGTATTTAGTTAGCGGAAGGTGCAGATTAATTAATATTTTTATGAAAAACTTTTATTTATAACGCATATTTTCAGCGGTGATTACTCTGTGGGACCATTTGCGTAACAATTACTATATATTTAGCTTAGGCAAAAATAGCGACATCTGTTGAGCGTAACATTATTAGCTGCCATTGTGGCGATTTTGAAGATTCTTTTTTTCGCATGAAAATTTGGAAAAAATATCCACTCGTAATGGCGTTAAAGTAATGTGAGAATGTATTTCTTATTTTGAGTAATTATTTAGACGACAATAAGACTGTGTTGACAACGGATAAGTAAACTGAAGTGGCAATGGGCCGGCCATATAGCTCGAATGACCGACAACAAAAGGGGAGAAAAGGTTCTCGAGTGGCAGCCTCGTACCGGTAGGCGTAGAGTAGGGCGACCCTTCACTAGATGGAGTGACGACCTGGTAAGACATGCAGGAAGTCGATGGATGAAGGTGGCTCAGGACCGTGCTTTGTGGCATTCATTTGGGGAGGCCTATGTTCAGCAGTGGACTTGTGAAGGGCAGTAATGATGATGATGATGATGATAATGAGATTGTGTTATTCCTTAGTCCACTCAAAATGGTAAAAAATATCTTTAAAAAAAGACCTAAATATAATTTTTTGACTTGATACTATTTGATATACATAGTACATAGTACATGGTACATAGTACATAGTACATAGTACGTGGTACGTAGTACGTGGTACGTAGCATGTGGTACGTAGCACGTGGTACGTAGCACGTGGTACGTAGCACGTGGTACGTAGCACGTGGTACGTAGCACGTGGTACGTAGCACGTGGTACGTAGCACGTGGTACGTAGCACGTGGTACGTAGCACGTGGTACGTAGTACGTGGTACGTAGAACGTGGTACGTAGTACGTGGTACTTAGTACGTGGTACGTAGTACGTGGTACGTGGTACGTAGTACGTGGTACGTAGTACGTGGTACGTAGTACGTGGTACGTGGTACGTGGTACGTGGTACGTGGTACGGGGTACGTGGTACGTGGTATGTGGTACGTGGTACGTGGTACGTGGTACGTAGTACATGGTACGTGGTACGTGGTACGTGGTACGTAGTACGTGGTACGTGGTACGTGGTACGTAGTACGTCGTACGTAGTACGTGGTACGTGATACGTGGTACGTGGTACGTGGTACGGGGTACGTGGTACGTGGTATGTGGTACGTGGTACGTGGTACGTGGTACGTAGTACATGGTACGTGGTACGTGGTACGTGGTACGTAGTACGTAGCACGTAGTACATAGTCCATAGTACATAGTACATGGTACATAGTACATAGTACATAGTACATAGTAGTACATAGTACACAGTAGTACATAGTACATAGTACGTAGTACATAGTACGTAGTACGTAGTACGTAGTACGTAGTACGTAGTACATAGTACATAGTACATAGTAGGTACATAGTACGTACTACATAGTACATAGTACGTAGCACGTGGTACGTAGTACGTGGTACGTAGTACGTGGTACGTAGTACGTGGTACGTAGTACGTGGTACGTAGTACGTGGTACGTAGTACGTAGTACGAAGTACGAAGTACGAAATACATAGTACATAGTATGTAGTACGTAGTACGTAGTACGTAGTACATAGTACATAGTACATAGTTCATAGTTCATAGTACGTAGTACGTAGTACGTAGTACATAGTACATAGTACATAGTACGTAGTACATAGTACATAGTACGTAGTACGTAGTACGTAGTACGAAGTACATAGTACATAGTATGTAGTACGTAGTACGTAGTACATAGTACATAGTACATAGTACATAGTCATGGTACATAGTACGTAGTACGTAGTACGTAGTACATAGTACGTAGTACATAGTACGTAGTACATAGTACATAGTACATAGTAGTACATAGTACATAGTACATAGTACATAGTACATAGTACATAGTACATAGTACATAGTACATAGTACATAGTACATAAGTAGACTATCATTTAGGTTTTTGCACAGACTTCAAATTATTTTATTATTTTCAGTCGATTCTTGAAGTTGATTTTTTTGACTTAATATGATATTATAGTATTGTAATATTTTTAATTAAAGAATGGACATTAAAATAATGAGTATTAGATACCGCATCAAGTAAATATTTCATGCCAAAAGTTCTCATTTTGCATTTTTATCTCAAATATTAATTTGCTCAATATTAAAAAGAAAATACCAGCATAACATTCAATATCAGTTAAACAATTACAGGGTAAACGAAAAGCAACCTTATAATAATTAAAAAAGAACCAAAATCAAAGAACCATTTTGTGCCGGCTTGTTATGTCATTACTTGCGAAGGAACAGCTTTAAGCTTTTAACATGATTCTATATCATTCCAGGGCAGGTCACGAAAAAGGAAAAAGTTCAGGAAAAAGGAACATGCATTCTCTTTCATTCATTTGTAATTCATTATTTAAAATGGTATGACTTACGTCTTCTTCTAAAGCGACTGGGAACTGTGTTGGCAGCAATGGTTTCACTGCAACATCTTCTAAGGCAGATTTGCGTCTGTAACAGAAATAATAAACATAATAATTAATATTCTAGTATTTTTCGTGTATAATACAAGGTATATTATTTTTATATTTAAAGCTACACAAAGTTGCGTATTTAAATTCTATTTAGAGCTTTAACGTTTCCTAATGTTATAGTAGTTGTCAAAGCTATTTTCACCAAGACAATTGAATTCTCAGGGCGTTACCATACCAATCGATCGATCGTCGTTCGATGCCATCGATCGACATTGGAATGGATTAGACGACGTCGATCGAGCTATTTGTCCCGCTCTACAGACCGCATTTTGAAAGATACTCAGATGAGATCGATGATTGAAGAACGTTTTATCGTCTAATATCCGTCGATCAGCTAAAGCTACATACGATCGACACCGATCGACAATCGATAGATTTGTTTGGTAACACCTTTATTTATAAGATCTAAACGTTAATAAGTCAACGAAAAATAGACATGAGACTTGTACTAAAACTTATAAAGAGTATAGACGTGACAAATAATTTTCTTTTAATTTTCTTTTTAAACAAATAATTAAATTCTATTTCTATTTTTAGTGGATAAAAATAATTTAATTGTAATAATATAATATTAAAATATTATAATCACTGTGTAATGCCTAATGGCGGCGTAGGAATACTCACAATCTCATATCAACCCGTGGATGTCGTAAGAATTGACAGAATAGAAACTGAAACAGTAGATATAGTCCGTATGATTTTTTTTATAGAAGAGGGGGCTAACGAGCATGCGGCCCACCTGATGGTGACTATCGCCGCGCCGCCCAAGAACAACTGTAACACCAGGGGAATTGCAGGTGCGTTGCTGGTTTTTTAGAAAGGAGTAAGCTCTTTTCTTGAAGGTCCCTCAGTCATATCGGTCCGGAATAATCGCCTGTGGTAACCGATTCCACGGAGAGGTTGTGCGAGGAAAAAAACTCCTAGTAAAACGTACAGTGGTGGAGCGCCAAGCATCGAGATGGTGGGGATGATATAATGAGTTTTGTTGCGATGATCGTGCGTGAAATTTTGGCGGCTGGAATTAATTGGAACAGCTTTTAGAGCCCACCCCGTGGTAGATGCGATAGCAAATACATAGAGATGCAACATCTCTTTGCGGCGCCAGTGAATCGAGCCGATCGAATAGGACTCTTTCGTTTAGTTTTATTCAATAATAACACGCTCTACTTTGGGTCAACTATTATAGAGATTAATCTAAAACGTACGTACGTACGAAAATTAATTTAGATTAGTTATTTAGAAGTTTTATTGCATTTATGCATATAAGGTAATTAGGTATATTATTATTTTACTATACTCTTAGATATCATAATTTAAATACGGGTAGTACTCAAAAACATGTAGACAAAATTTCTTATCTTCTAAATCTTGCCAATCTAAATATTTTAAAACGTAGATTGAAAAAAAAATACGCAACTTAATTATAAATGTTTCTTTTGTTAATTTGAAGACAAGGGCAAGTCTCCGTGGAAAAGAGGTCAAATGGTAAATGCTATTTAAGTTCAGGAGAAGTGAAGCCTGCTCTCTTAAAAACAAAAAGAAAAACTTTTGAGTTACACAATTGAATTTAATTTTTTTGTCTAGGGTTGCACCTTTTTAAAGGCGCTTGTTAATGTATTTTTTTTTTCTTTTTTTTAATCAGCCTGTTAAAGTCAACAAGTGGTAAAATTAAAAATTCTGTACAACCGACTTCAATATAAACAAAATGATAACATTATAAATGTATTCAAAGTCAATTAAATACGCATTAATAAGAATAACTCAAAAACTACTGGTCAAATCTTGATCAAATTTATATTGGACCATATAAATTTGACATGAGAAACACCAGCTTTAAAAAAAGGATCAGAAGTAAGTGTAGAGAACCGGAGTTCCTTTTTACTGAAAACGATGCATTCCATGTCAGTCCTCAGATATGACAACGCATCTGCATTTTGATTCTTAATAAGGGATAAATGTAGATGTCTATGGGCCACAGCATTCACTTACCATCAGGTGGTGTGTGCCCATTAGTCACTTTAAAATAATGAGATGATTTTTCGTTATCGAGGAGTGAATACTGCTGGTTTTTATTATTATTCATTCAAACTATTATTTATTCAGAACGCAATTATGTTACACAGCAGTATCATAAAAACACTATTTTATCATAAGCTCAATATTATATAATAAAGTAAATAAGAACATCAACATTTATCCACTTACTACTATACTAACTTTGAATGTAAAAATAAACTAAAAAATTGCCTACAATGCTTCACGCATGAAAAAACTGAAAGCTCTAGTGACTGTTGCTTACATACTTACGCGCTCACATACACACACACTCACACACTCACACACGCACACACACACACACATACACACACACACACACACACACACACACACACACACACACAAATGCGTGCATGCTTTGCATGCATGCTTATTATGTAATTATTATATTCCAAATTTTATTTACTTTTGGGGGTTTTTTTTCGTTTTTTTTTTTTTTTTTTTTTTTTTCGGTTTTTTATTTTTATTTATTTATTTTTTTTATTTTTTATAATAAATCATTTTTGTTTCTATTCTAAGATTTTGTTTTTTTTTTTTTTTGGTTTTTTCCCTGCCGATCTTTGTGATAAATGTATATTGAATAAAAGAATCAAACGACACATCCCTAAACCTCCAAATACATTGGAAAGTTTGTTTTGATTTCTTAAAAGTACCGCGGATTGAGGCACTGATATTTTGTAAGTTCAAAGGTCAGCTTATCGTTATTTGTTGAACAATTAAAAAGTAATTACATAATAATTTGATCAGTTCATTTTACTTGCGAAACTTTTTAGTCAAAAAACAGAAATGACAAATTAACTTATAGTGCACCTAAGGTTGTCACGCGTAGTATAATATATAGTATCGTACTATATTTCAGTCAATTGTACTATATATTATAGAAAAATCATATAGTATGAAAAGTACTATATTTTTTCCCTAATTCAACTGTCGCAATTATTTATATTAACAGTGATTGGAAGTCTGGAACAAGTAAGTTCTACGGTAAGATTTTTTTTCCATCATGAACGTAAAATTGAAAGAAGAAAGAAAAAGAGCATGTATTAATATAATTAAAAAATAATTGATAATTTATTTTAATATGAATCTAAATTGCGCAGACTCCTATAATTATTTTCAAGGTAAGGTGGTCAGACCATTGACGGCCAAAGCAAATAGCAATAACAAATATTTATAGAAAAATATACATAGATTAAAAATTAATGAGTACTTTTTTTCTAAATTTCACAAAAGTACTATATTTTTGCATTCTACTTCGGGATAAATACTATATTTGTTCAAAAAAAGGTGGCAACCCTAAATGCACCTGATAGTAAGTGGTCACTGCTGTTCATAGACCCCTGCAACCAACTTTAAACAAAGAAGGCTATAATTGCTTTGTCACTTCTGAGGACTAAGAATACCTTACAGCATTTAATATACCACATAATAGGGCCATATTTGCCCTGCAAACCAGAACACAGCATTGCAGGCAACAGCTATTTGGAAGGAGAAATAGACAGGAGTTTTATAACTACCTAGAGAAGCTTCTAGGCAGAATATAAATAGGAGTCTTATCTTACCAAGTAATAAAAAGAAGTAATTTATACGTGGTAGAATCATGCTGCAGTTTAATAGTATAGTTGTAGCACGAATGGGTCGGAAGGACCACGCTCTCACAGAATACCAGCGTAAAATTGTAGCTTAATGCTGCTGTGTTTCGTATGGTGAGTGTAGAGAACCGAAGACTCTTTTTACTGGAAACGACGCATTCCATCTTAGTCCTCACGGATGACAACGCATCTGCATTTTGATTCGTAATCGAGGATAGATGTAGATGTCTATGGGCCGCAGCAACCACTTACCATCATGTGGTCTGTGTGTTCGTTTGTCAACCTATCCTATAAAAAAGAGAGATCCGGCGCTGGCTGATACAACGCCAACTTCATGACTCTGGACAGCTAATGAGGATTACTTGACGGAAAAACTCAATAACTGATATTTTTGGCCCAGCCCAAGATTCGAACCCGGGATTTCATTAACAGCAGTCGCGTTTACTACCACTAGAAAAACGAGGCAGTACTAGTACTAGTTTCACAATATTAATTTTAAATTATTATTCTACACTTAATATAAAACCGACCGGTTTCGCCTCACGCCATCATCAGGGTACATATCTTCTATATTACACTATGTATAACATGACTGCCTCGTTGGTCTAGTGGTTGTAGCAGTGCTACTGCTGATCACGAGGTCCCGGGTTTGAAACCCGGATCGGGCCAAAGGATTAATTATTGTGTTTTTCCGTCAATAATTTCTCAGTAGCTGCCAGGAGTCAGAAAGTTGGCGGTGTCTCACCCCCGTGCCTCGGAAACCACGTAAAGCAGTTGGTCGTGCGCCTTATCTTTCCCCGGTCGTGTCTGTTCACAGTTCCATCGGATTATGAGAGTGAGGGAATAGAGAGTGCACCTGTGCTTGCGCATACACTTGGGCACTATAATCCTGTCCTGCACCGATGGAAAAAGTCTCCGTTGATGCCGGCTGCCTTGACCGAAATTCGGCCTGGAGGACATTGTCATCGACCCCAGAATGTGAAATTATTTTAATCTTCTTAGTTTTTTGTAATCACTTTTTAATGTTCAAAAGTTATTTTTTATCTATTTAGTCATTTTTACAACAACAAAACATGACTGAAGGACGCAAAGCGCGTATCGATTATATGCTCCTGACACGCGCGCCATGAATGACCGCGCTGCCCAGTGTGTTCCGCGGAACGCGTTCCAAATATTCGAAGTATATCAACTAAGCGCACTTGGCGCGCGGCAGCTCACCCAGTGTTGGATTGGATCGTTCAACATGTATGCCGGTCGTGTAGGAGCAGCTGCCGCTTTCATAGTTCTCTACATGCATCTTCTCTGTGCGCTTTGTTATGATAAAAAC